GTCAGCAAGGATTCTGGACAAGATGGGAAAACACACTGAAGTGCAAGAACACTTGATTGGATTTCTAGTGGTCTGGCCTCCATTGCATCAGACTACTGGTCTAAGCAGTCCACGACTCCTTGCCCAGCCCGGCAAACTCCCACACATGGGGCAAGACTGACACTGGGAGGGGGTCCTTCAACAACTCCTCAGCAGATGCCACAAAGCCTTGACCAACAGATGCTTCCATTGGCGCCATGACCAAGTGTTCAAGGCATTTGTGGTCACCACAGCTATCCAGTCCACCCTAGGAAGAAGTCCATCCCTTTTAAAGGTGGAGAGAAGCCCCTAGACAACAACTAGACCATACCTACTCTCCACAGCCACAGACTGGCAGCTCAGAGTGAACTTTGGGACATGGCTTGTTTTCCCTCTAAAACTTTTATTGCTTCGCTAAATATTAAGTAATTCGCTTGGATTAAGGATTAGTCTCAGGGTTTGGTTTCAATAAACAATAAACACCATGTCAGGGACCGAACAGTAAGGCAAAACATACAACATTTAAATTTCAAGAAAAGGCAGACTTTCTATTAACGCAAAAATAAGGAAAAAAATACAAACAACATCAATATCAAACAAACTGGGGCCCTAAAAGAGATCAACATAATATAAGGAAACTCAAAATACAGCAAACTGAACTGCACAGTAGCTCAAACAAAAACCACCCGACTCAACAAAGGATACAAATGGGGAACATACTGTATATATACTGGCTGGCCAAACCAGTAACACACACAGAGAATGGACAAAGACAATAACATTAGACAGTCTGCTAACAATTACATATTTTTCTTAGAAAGAAAAAAACCAGAACAAATAAAGTTTTAACATGAGCTACAAACAAATATTTCTCCCAAATCTCCCTCTTTCCTCTGTTGGGTACTTGGTACAGGCCAAGCCTATTGGGAGGAATTTAAGTATGCTGCTGCCTCAGCCCTATCTTTTTTTTTTTTTGTCTGAACAACCTCCATTCATAGACCAGGAACACAGTAACTCAAAAAGAAATTTTGGACAAATTAATGATATATTGATGTTACAAAATTAACTAAATCTGCATGCCTCATTGCTTAATTGTGTATTTCTAATTTCAAATTTCAAATGCCTAAAATCTATCTATAACTTAAATCTACACACAAAGTATTCTAAATGAAAGCAAGAGAGCATTATCTAACTAATTCCAGCTGGTGGCGGGTTAGGCCCTCACATGGTGAAGGCCAGGGCTGAGGCTTTCACACACCAATAGCTTTGATAGATGTATGGTGTAAAATGAAGTTAATTCTCTTTTCTGTAATCAAATAAATAATAATTTAATATTGTAAATATTTCTCATATGCATAGGGAAACACATCTGTTCTCCATAGTTAGGTTTCTCTCTAAACAGTGGTGTATGTACCAATTAAGAGGATTTGATTTGATTTGATTTATTCATTCAAGCATGTAAAACAGTTGATATGTCAACACATGTAATTTCACACATATCCAACAATAATAATCCAATATCAATTTACTTATACCTAGTACATGCTTGAACGGAGTAGGAAGAAGTTAGACTTACAGTGCCTTGCGAAAGTATTCGGCCCCCTTGAACTTTGCGACCTTTTGCCACATTTCAGGCTTCAAACATAAAGATATAAAACTGTAAT